GCAGCAGTCCTCTGACAACTCCAAAGATGCTCCAGGACAGTAAATTGCTGCAACCTGGGGTCACACTGCTTGCCCCCTCTCCTGGCTTCTCCACTTAGGTTCTCTTTGCATTAAGTAAGTACTTAATTAGCCTTAGTTTCCTCATCTGTAAAATGGGACTAATAAAGGATTTATCTCACCCAATTCATATGAGGATTAAATACGTTAATACATATTATACCTTCGGAAGGGCATTTAGCACGTAAACTCAGTAAATTATAGGCTGAAAAAATTCTGTCCTTAAAGAAAATCTCTATCAATCTTTAAATATTAATTCGTAGCGCTTGTTATATACCCTCAAAATGACTGAAAAACTAAGAATCACAAAACTAGATTAACACTTCCTTAGCAAGACCTGAATAAAGTGTCTAGCACACTTGTTTCGAGGTCTCTTCTGCAAATCTGGAACAACAAAATAATTCCATTTTGTATCCTGCTATCCAGTCAGTAATTTTTTAATCCTCAGGATAACCTTGTGGGGTAGGGACTATTATTATTCCCATTTCCAGCTAAGGAAAATGAGGCACAGAGAGGTAAAGTAATTTGCCTGAGGCTGCATGGTTAGTAAGTGAGGGAGTTAGGATTGGAACCAAGTCACAGGTTTTAGTGCATAGATGTGGAAAATGAAGGATGACTGAAATTTGAAAATTATTTGGTATGTATTGTTTGAGGTGTGCTGAGCAGGACATGAATGAACAATAATTTGTTAAAAAATCAGATCCTAAGAACTCAAAGGAAAGGTTAGAACTAGAAGTGTAGATGTGAGAACCATCATCGTAGAGATAAGATGACTGAGGAGAAGATGCTGAGGGGGAAAGCCAAGAAGACTATGAACAGAAACTCACTAAATTCCCTACCTTTAGGGGGATATAGAGAAAGGAAAACCGATGAACGAGATCAAGATTTGATTAGAGTAGATGTTACAAACTGGCAGCCTTAAAGCTAAATTTGACTTGCAGAAGTGTTTTGAATGGCAGGCAAATTCCTTTTAAAATATATGATTCAGTATTTAAAAAATCAGAAGACGTTGGAACACTGGGCCCATATTCCTGTGTGAGAACAAATGGCTACATTTAATTAGCTCAAACCTCTCTAGGGGGTCAGGCACTTTCCAGTAGGTCAGAGGCCCTTCCACGCCCAGTGAATCACCTGCTGAGATTCCGCCTGCTTACACTGTGTGTGTTGCCGGCCTGGCTCTCGAGGAACTGTGTTTATCACCTCTGCTTTAGGAGGGTGGAGGGGCCAGCCCGGTGGCGTAGTGGTTAAGTTCACACGCTCTGCTTCAGTGGTCCAGGGTTTGCAGGTTCGGATCCTGGGCGTGGTACTATGCACCACTCATCAAGGCATGCTGTGGCAGTGTCCCTAGAGGAAGATGGGCTTGGATGTTAGCTCAGGGCCAATCTTCCTCAAGCAAAAAGAGGAAGATTGACGAGAGATGTTAGCTCAGAGCCAATCTTCCTCACCAAAAAAAAAAAAAAGGTGGAAAGTAAATAGGAGAACTCAGATATATAATTCCAGAGACTTTCAAGAAGAAAAGGATCACTGTCTCATATGTTGCTGAAAAAGAAAAAGTGGATGACAAGCAAAGGATTTGTGATTTAGGACTTGGTAATTTTTGGGAAAAAAACCCAAAAAACCATTCAGTGGAAGGAGAGGACGTGGAGGCTGGGATTAAAGGATGAATGGACAGTTTGTGAGGAAATAAACAGCACCCGGAGACTGCTCCTTCAGAAGGCGTGACAACGAAGGGAACAAATGATTAATGTGTTCTTTTGTCTTTGTCAACAGACTGTTTAAAATGTTCTTTGCCTCTTCAAGATACATGAACCTCCTGGTGATCAACCTCGTCATTTGCCTGCTGCTAAATCTTATTCATTCTCCATCCCTCGCACTTTAGCAAGTCAAGTCCAATGCAATCATGACAGAAAGGATTCAGAATCCATGAGAGTTATTAACGTTGAAATGAAATCAAATACCTGGAAATTTGGTTTCATGTGAAACTTGCAAAGAATATATTTAAATAGTTGTGCTGGTAGATACTTGGAGAAGGAACTTTTTTAACTCATTGGATTTTTCTATTGTCAAGTTTTAACTTGTCTCCTCCCTCTCCTTTTCTCTCTCTCCCATACACACACATGCAATATTTATATTATGTATTCTAAGTCACAATTTTTTTTGATATTTTAACACCTCTAAAATTAGGGCGTGTTTTACAACTAATAGCACAGCAGTACATAATTATATTGTCACTTTCTAACATAGTCTATTTTCTAGGAACACATTGAAGGAAAGTGTCTGTGACTACATTACAAATAAGTTCTATCTCCTGGACCCGAAAGCTGATAGAATATGAAGGGAAAATCAAATCAAATATGTGTATTAATTTTCAAACAGTTTGAAGTGGCTCAACTTTAAATGCCTGGTTGATCATAATAGTTATTTCCAAGTTGGAAGAAATAACTGCCTGTTGGCTCCAGAGACAATGGTAATGCTCAGTCTGAGATATCTGTGTTTGCTTTTCTCTATAATAAAAAAAGCCCAAGAAACTGGGGGAAAAAAATCCTTCTGCTATTTTAAGATACTGTCTATCTTACTAACTGTGTTTTTGTGCCATCATTAATCAATTGTCTGCATACAGAGAAGAAAGGGAAGGAAGCCTGCAGACCACTTAATGTGCCTCACACTTGAGCACAGCAGCAAAGAGCGCAGGCTTCCGGGATGTCTACCTTCGTGAGAGTCTCCACATAATTAATGTGTTTTTGAAAGCTCAATCTGAAACTTTTCAAATCTTGAGGAAGAAGTTCTGTAATATCATTGAAATTGCCTGTGAATTCCCACAAGATAATGTGTACTGGCTATTACCAGGGCATTATATTTCATTGTATTATAGAATCTGAAATATCTCCATTGTATATTTCAACTGTATGTTACCAAAATTAAATTTAAGAGAATGCAAGTGATAGTGCTAACATGTCTGTATATAGTATTCTTAGAAGTTTGCATTTCTGGAGAGAATGTTCTATAACTGAAACTATGTGATCAAGCAATCTGATTTACATCTCTAATAATGATATCATCATAAAAATTGTTCAATGCTTTGTGCTTTACAAAGCATTTTTTACATCTATTATCTGGTTCAAACTTGGAAAATTAAGAAAATTATTTAAGGGAAAATAATGACGTCCACTTAAATATAACAGTACTGTTGAAATGGCAAAAAAGCCAATTCCAGTTATATTTAGTCTTTTAAATTAGTATTGCCGTCAATCTTGAATACATGTGCTTTATGCTATCTAATATGCAGTCTTAATATTGCACTGTCTTGGATTTTATATCCTTTTTCTCTTCTATTTTAGATTTTTGAAAATGAAAGATAAGACAATTCTGGTTGAAAACATATGAAAAGACTATGCATTAGATGATGAAGAATTTTAAGAACGCCATGCAAATGTTTGCAAAAGCCATTCTTTGCAAAGTGGCACATTCCCACATGCTTAGTATTCAAGTACATTATCCGCCTGACAAGATAGTAAAATATCCCACTCATCTGTTCAGAGCTAATTTTTCAAATTTTAATAATTTTTTTAGTCCCTATCAAGGCCTTTTAAAACTTTGCAAAGCATATTAATAACTCATTAAAGATTAATTACATGTCAGCTTTGAGGTCAAAGAGTTTGAGTGGTTTCTAGTTATCTGAATTAAAATGCATCTGCTCTGAAAAGAACACATAGTGTAAAACTCTCTGCCCTCTTCGCTAACCTTAAGCTTTTGTTTATGAAAACAAATACATATAAACATTAACTCAAGTGTCTTTGATAACAATTAAATGAGAAGGTTATGGCGATATCCGTGCTAGTAAGGAAATTTGGTACAGAGGGATGTCCTCAAGGGAAGGCAGGTTACCTCCTGAACCTTGTGACTCGGTTTGCTAACTGGAGGACCTATCAGAGGTCTGTCAGTTATGACGAAATCGTCACTGTCTGAAATCTGCATGTTGTTTTAATGGACTGTAACCATGAGATTTAGTTGAGTAAGAGTTTGGGAATAAGAAGATAAATAAAAAATAGATATCTAAATGGAGAGTGGAGGAATTTTGAGAATTATGAGGTAATAGAAAATAGAGATAGGAATAAGAGGAGAAGAAAGGTCTAAAGGAGTCTGTTTTTGTTCTTAAATAATTCTGACTTCAATGTGTTTATACAGCCAGCAAAAAAACAAATAAAAATAAATGTGAAAGGAAGCAAAAGACAGCATTCAAATTGTTTAAATCAAAACTATGTGTTTAAATCATTAATGTATTTTGAATATGACCTCTGGTGAATTATATATCATTTTCCTTTCATTTTCCCCATCTTTCAAATTGGAATAACAATAATACCTCTTGATGGATTGTTCTGAGGATCAGGATTACTACATAAAAACAATTACACCAGTCTTCACATGGTGGATCCTCAAAAGTTAGTAACTCTTATTGTGACAGTTTTTAAAATATCTAAACATTGCATTGTAGAACTTTAAGTTTTAAAAAAAGATAATCTGGTGAACTGTGCTATGTTATTTAGCACGATTGCACAAATTTCTGTAGTCATTTTCACTACCAATTTGGGGGAAATTATAGTTTCTCTGTCTTTCGAAGGGTGTATTTCTCTCATCCTAGGTGCTTGTAAATCGAGTCCCAAAGGTTTGCTAGTTTCCTTTCTTCATAAAAAATGCTTTGGGGGAAATTATATTCCTTCTTGGAATTCTGTAAATTAAATGAAAGACTGCCAGTCAGCGTCGCCAGTTTTCCCTTGGTCCCGGCGTACAGAACATGAATTGGTTTCCAAGGCAAAGCATTCAATAATCTGTATGCAAAGTAGTATTTTTACATAGCTCTGAATGTCATATCCAAATGTAAAGCTGCCTGTTGCCTCAAGTGTGAAATTCACTCTCATTTAAATTTTGTGTTTCTTTGCAACTAGTGATGCTGGTATTTGTGGACTGGGCCATGGAAACACATGTGACGGTGGTTCAAAGTAGTAATAACTGTGACCTCTCCCACTGTCGCCTCTGTCTCCATGAAGAGGGGTTCATGTGAAGCTACCCCTGGGTCAAAGCAGTAAATCTTCAGGAGCCAAGGGAATAAAAATATTTTTTTTTTGTCTTGATGATATTTTACAATCTCTTCCAAGTTGTAGATTTTCCAAAATCCTGTGATCACCAGTGTTTTTAGAGAGCCCATGTTTAAAATTTTATAGTTTCTTTTATCATTTGAATTCAAATATGTAATAGAGTGGATACCAGGCTATTTTCAGATTTCTTTGCCTGAGAACAGTCTGCTCAGCAATTAAAGTTTGGTTTTTAGGAAGAAAGAATATTAGGAAGTTTGTCCTCACTCACTTACATGGGAGCATCCTGGAACTAATGTCCCAGTTGGTACCTGTCCATGATGATTTAAAGATACTGGCCGTTTTTCTAATACATTTCATCTCAAGCTTTTGAGGTTGATTTCAGTTCAAAGTGCCAATTGAGGATGAAAATGTTACTAGCGAGTTTGCCTATTCATTATGCAACCCACTTTTCATCTGGGTCCCCAGTCACACCGTGCCTGGACCACTTTTAATCTTCCCACTGCTTCCTGTAATGGCTGCTGTTCCTTTGAACTACCTTTTCTGATGCAGAGGGTCAATGACAAGAAACTAGTATCTCTGTGGTTATAACCAGACCTCCCATTTAGGTAAAGCACCATACCAGAAATCTGGATTTTTAAAGCCATTAATTGTAGTAATTGTACAAGGTACTGAGAACTGCATCTCACATGAGATAGCAAAAATGATAATAATGGCTGTTTTCTAGGACCCAAAAAGGAATGTAAGAAAATATCCTTTGTTTAGAGAGGGAGCTTATTCACCATAATGTCGGGCAAGATTGTGTAGCTATTGCTGTGTAGCACATTGCCTTAAAATTTAATGACATAAAGCAATAACTATTTATTATTTCTCAAGGGTCCATGAGTAGACTGGGCAGTTGTGCTCATCTAGACCAGACTCAGCAAGACTCTCTCATGTGCCTGTGGTCAGCTGGCAGGTCAGCTATGGCTGACTGGTCCCCAATGGCCCCTTAAGTCTAATCTCAGAACTGGCACACCATCACTTCCGCTGCAGTCTACTGGCCAAAGCAGGTCACAAGACCAGCCAAGAGTCAAGGGGGAGAGAAATAAATTCCACTGCTGGAAGGGAGGAGCTGAAAGTCACGTTGCAAAGGGCAGGGATACAGGCCTGGGAGGAGAATTGGGGCCATTTTTAAATCGACCACAATTGCTTTCTCAGACTACGAAGAGCAATATTAATAGCCCCTCATATACTCGATCACACCAACTCCTTTACTCATGGTACCCTCCATGGGTCAAAGTGAGATGTGAGGTTTTGAATTATCTCTAGCCCTCAGTGAAGTTAGCATTTGAGAAAAGTAACTAAAGTGCTCCATCCATATTGTTGTTTTGCACTGGTTAATACATTTCTGCAACATTTGGTTAAATACAGATGTAATTTCTCTATTTAATGGAGTCTTGATTTTAAAACAGCCTGTTCTGAAAGTTTCTTCTTTTTTTCTTTCATATATATGTATATGTGTGGATATATATGTGTGTGTTTATATCTGTGTATGTATACGTATATATACACTTCTGCAGCATGCCAGCATCCTCGTTATTCTTTGGTACTCTGAGGCGCCACCTTGATCTGATAATTCTAAAGGTCACTGCCCAGAGGAGGAGGAGATGTTACCTGCCTCACTGGAGCCAAATAGTTACTCTATAGAGGGTGAGGATATTAATAAGCATGTTTATACATCCCTTCATGTGGTAGTTCTAATACAAAAATCCATCGGCTCAGCAATAGGGAGCTCAAAGTCTGGTCTATAATTTTGCACCTGGGGTAGCCTGCATTTAAAATCCTCCATCAGTTGTAGTGTTGTCATCCCCGTTAGGAATTTAATGAGCACCAACAGGCCTAGCTAATGTACAGAACGCAGAGGTAGACACATCTGCTGCCCAGCAAGCTGTTGCACGAGTACAGAGTTGCTGGTGTGCATCAGGACCTGGGACCTCCCCATTTTCACTTACTTCATAAATCTAGACACAGACCTCACTTTGGGGCTCATATTATTAAGAGGAGACTACAGAGGAAAAATAAACCCCATTTGGTAAAGTAAATGGTATGCCTGCTTCTGTAGCTACCCATGGTTTATTACTGCTGTATGTTATTTCCAGCAGTACTTAGAACAGTGATCATCAGGGGCCCTTAAAGACTTGCTGATGCCTCTTGGGCAGTTTCAGAATAATACAGTTTATAAATAATTCTGCCTACATATCTTATGTCTTCAGGATTCCTTTTGCCTTGCTTTGTTTGTTGTGAGTGTATTTACATGAAACAGGTTATTTGGATATTTGTCCTTTGAAAGCTATGGCTTTTTCTTCCCTCCATGTCAGAATCACATACTTTCCAGTCATTTCCACAGCCACATGAAGATGTGGGAACTGCAGTGAGGGACACAGCATAAGAAGAGATAAACCTCTTAAGAAACCACTGTGATCTTACTGAAATCTATGTTTCTATTTAACTTGTTTTGTGTTAATTGAAGATTCAGAGTTGGCTATTTGGACTGCAATTTAAGCGTATGTGTTGGGGGAGTGTTCACGTTACAGTGACATTTAATCGTAGAACAGGTGCATATCTTTTACAGATACCATCCCTCTGCATGCAGCAGAAGTTATATATTAGAATCAGCAAAGTATATGTGATTCTTTTTAGTTCATATCATTTTTATTCTCCAAAGACATTTAAAATATAAGCTTTTGTATTCAGGCTTTATTTTTTTGTCTACCCCCATTTTGAGGGAATTTTTTTAAAAGTATCAAATACCATGTGTATGTGCAATTAAACTATGGTTTCTATTTGGAATTCAGAAACATGAGTATGTACCGAGGTTTGCAAAAAACACTTGTACAATTATATTTCTGTATTTTACAAGGTGTTTCACTGGAATATCAGTTTAAAATGCAGATTCGTGGCCCTCTGTCAGTCCTGCTGAATCAGCCTCTCTGGGAGTAGAGGCGCTGTATCTCCATTTTAAGTCAATCCCCTAGGTATTTCTTATGCATATTAAAGTTTGAGAAACACTGCTGAGCTTATCTCAGAATTAAATTAGATTATTAGAAAACTATATACTGGAACCTCATTAATTTAATTCTCTAGAGAATCATCTTCATGGTACAATGATTCACTGTTTTGTGCTTGATTTTTATCAAGAATTAGTATAAGAAATGACAACATGTAAACTGATTCTGTACTTTTAAGAAACTATCATCAAACAATAATTCATTATGTTGTTCACAGATCCTCATACAGAAATTCACAATGCATTCGCTTTTAACCCAACTAAACTGTGTAATTATAACATATGTATAGAAAAGTGAATAATCATAAGTGTTCAGAATGATAAATTTTTCAAAATGAACATATCCATATCACCAACACTCAGATCATAGGATAGAATATTATCAATATTCCTAGAAGCCCTCTTGTGCCTTATAGAAGAGGAACCACTTCCCCACTTCTATCACTGTAGACGGGTTTTGCCAGCTGGCTTTTGATCTTTATGTCAATGAATCATTATGTATGTACTCTTTAGTATCTAGTTTCTTTTACTAAACACATTTGTGAGATTCATCTATAACGTTGGATATAGTTTTAGTTTGTTCATTCCCGTTGCTATTTAGCATTTCATTTTATGATATGCCACAATTTTCAATTCTAATGTTGATGGATGTATTAGTTATTTATTGCTGCATGACAAATTATCCCAAATTTGCAACAAACATGCACCTTAAAATAACAAACATTATCTCACAGTTTCTGAGGATCAGAAACCTGGGAGTGACTCCACTGGGGGATTCTAAGAATCTCTTATGAGATTGTGTTTCAACTTCCAGCCAGGCTCAATCTCTGAAGACTTGACTGCTTCCAAGTTCACTTCTATTTCTGTTAGCAGAAGGCTTCAAGGCTTCAGTTCCTCACCACAGAGATCTCTTCATAGTGTTTCTTATGATATGGGAGCTGAGTTCCCCAAGAGAGTGATGAGAAAAGGGGAGGGGAGAGTCCAAGAGAGAGGCTGCAGTTTTTGATAACTGAATCTCCGAGTGACATGCCATCACTTCTGCCATACTCTGTTGGTCACACAGACTAGCTCTGTTTCAGTGTGAAAGGGGACTGCAAAAGAGTGTGAATACCAGGAGGCAAGGACATCACAGACCATCTCAGAGGCTGGCTACCACAGTGGCTATTGGAGTAGTTTGCAATTTTTGGCTAATAGAATTATGCTACTTTGAACATTCCTTTACATATATTTTGTAAGTATATTATGCATTTCTGTTAGGTATATACCTAGTAGTGGAATTTCTGCATCATATGTTATGCAGACATTTATCTTTAGTAAGATACTACAAAGAGTTTCCCAAAGTGCTTGTAAAAACTTATGCTTTTATAAGCAATACTCCAGTTGCTCAATCCTTGAAAACACTTGATATTGTGTATATTTTTCATTTTAGCCATTTTGGGGGTGTGTACAATTGTACTTCATTATGATTATAATTTACATTCCCTGATAATTAATAATATTTATTCCTTTTTCATTTGCTTATTGTCATTTGGATTTTCTCTTTTGTGGATCCCTATTCCAGTATCGTGCCCAGTTTTTTAGTGAGGTCCCTGCCTTTTATTACTGGTCTGTAGGAATTCTTTCTATAGTCTGGATATGGTTCCTTGGAGGATATATGTGTTACAAATATCTTCTCCTACATTGTGGCATACAGTTATACTTTGTTAATGTCTTTCGATGAACAAAAGTCTTTAATTTAATATGGCTGAATTTGTCATTTTTTCCTTTGTGTTTAGCCTTTTTTCAGCTCTGTTTAAGAATTCTTTGCCCACTCAAGGCCATGAATATATTCACTCCATGTTCTCTTCTAAAAGCTTTGTTGTCTTACCTTTCACGTTTAAATCTACAAACCATCTAGCAATATATTTAAGGATAATACCC